TGTCCCGGACTCACGTGGCTGAAGAGCTCGTTGGTCAGGCCCAGGTAGTTGTGCAGCGCCAGGAAGGTGACGCGCTGCAGCCGCACCATGATGATCTGCGGTGACATCGGTCACTGTCACCCGTGTCACCSGTGCCACCMCAGGGACCTCCCGRGGGTGTCCCWGCCCCAAACCCACCTGCACCACCCGGACCAGGCTCTCGGGGTACTTCTCAAACACGGCTGAGAAGGCCTCGACCGGCAGGCGCAGCACGGTGGAGTCCACGGCCGCGCGGGCGCACACCGTCCGGTACGGCCGCTGGTGGCCCTGGGGACACCGGGGGGTCAGGGGTCACCCCAGCACCTTGGGGACACTCGGGGACTGCGTGGCATCGGGGTTATGGCCACGTGGTTGGGTTTGGGGTGGCCACAGTTGGGTTTCGGGTGGCCATGGTTGGGTTGGGGTGGCCACAGTTGAGTTTGGGGTGGCCATGGTTGGGTTGGGGTGGCCACAGTTGAGTTTCGGGTGGCCACAGTTGGGTTGGGGTGGCCACAGTTGGTTTTGGGGTGGCCACAATTGGGTTTGGGGTGGCTATGGTTGGGTTGGGGTGGCTATGGTTGGGTTGGGGTGGCCATGGCCAGGTTTGGGATGGGCTGGGGACATCCCAGGGCCTTGGGGACATTGCCATACCGTGATGACGTCCAGGATGCTGAGCAAGCTGTGCACGCTGTCCCCAGGGAACACCTCCTTCATCACTGTCTCCTTCCCGTCCTGTGGGGACAGACCCTGCGTGTCCCTTGGTGTCCCCTGCGTGTCCCCTGCTGGCCCCAGGTGTCCCCTGTGTGTCCTTGAACGTCCTTGGGGTGTCCCTGGGCATTCCCCGGGTGTCCTTAAATGTCCTTGGATGTCCTTGTAGAGGCCCTGACTGTTTCTGGTGTCCTCCAGGTGTCCCTGACTGTCTCCTGGGTGTCTCTGGGGTGTCCCAGGTGTCCCCAGCTCTCCCTGAGGTGTTCCCCATGTATCCCCAGCTGTCTCCCCACTGTCCCCTCGATGTCCCCAATGTCCCCATGTCCCCTCACCGGCTCGGTGAGCAGCAGCTCCAGTTTCCCCTCCTGCAGGACATAGATGCTGGAGTCGGGCTGGCCCGGCCGGAACACGTCCTCGCCCTGCTGGCACTGCTGGAACACCATGTGCTTGCACAGCTCCAGGAAGAGCGGCTTCTCAAAGTGTCCCAGCACCCTGCGGGGACACGGGGACAGCAGTGTCACCGTGGGGTCACTGAGGGGACATGGGGACACTGAGAGGACAGGGGGACCCGCCCCTGTTGGCATGGAGACAGGGATGCAGGGGAAGAGCATCCTGTGGTGCGGGGATCCACATCAAAAGATGGATCTCGACTCCTGGGGTGGGTCTTGATCCCAAAAACGGATCCCAATCCCATGGAAGGATCCTGATTCCATAGAAAGATACCAATCCCCACAAACAGATCCTGATCCCATGGACAGACCCCAATCCCACAGACAGATCCCAACTCCACAGACAGATCCCAATCCCACAGACAGATCCCAATCTCAGGGACAGATCCCGACCCCACAGACAGACCCCAACCCCACAGACAGACCCCGACCCCATAGACAGATCCTGACCCCACAGACAGACCCCAATCCCATGGACAGACCCCAATCCCACAGACAGACCCCGACCCCACAGACAGATCCCGACCCCACACACAGATCCCGACCCCACAGACAGATCCCGACCCCACACACAGACCCCAATCCTATAGACAGACCCGAATCCCATAGACAGACCCTGACCCCACACACAGACCCCGACCCCACACACAGACCCCGCCCCGGGCGCTCACCGCACGTTCTTGAGCATGTAGAGCACCTCGGAGGGCAGGTGGGAGCTGGCCACATCGAACTCGGTCAGGTCGGCCTCCAGCACCGAGGGCGGCGGCTCCTTCAGCTGCAGCGTGGGCGGCTCCTTCTGGATGCGCAGGAAGCTGGCCGAGACCCTGGGGACAGCGGGGACACGGTGGGGACACTGCAGGGACACCCTGGGGACACCCTGGGGACACCACAGTGACACCCTGGGGACACCCTGGGGACACTGCAGGGACACCACCCCCCAGCCACTCCTCAGCTGCAGCGTGGGAGGCTCCTTCTGGATGCGCAGGAAGCTGGGCTGAGACCCTGGGGACAGCGGGGACACCTTGGGGACAGTGTGGGGACACCCTGGGGACACTGTGGGGACAGCCTAGGGACACCACAGTGACACCCTGGGGACACAGCCACCCCTCAGCTGCAGCTGAGGCTCCCTCTGGATGCGCAGGAAGCTGGCCGAGACCCTGGGGACAGCAGGGACACCATGGGGACAGTGTGGGGACACCTTGGGGACACCCTGGGGACACTGCAGGGACACCCTGGGGACACTGCAGGGACACCACCCCCCAGCCACTCCTCAGCTGCAGCGTGGGCGGCTCCTTCTGGATGCGCAGGAAGCTGGCCGAGACCCTGGGGACAGCGGGGACACGGTGGGGACACAGTGGGGACACCCTGGGAACACCCTGGGGACACCACAGTGACACCCTGGGGACACTGCAGGGACACCCTGGGGACACCCTGGGGACACCTCGGGGACACCCTGGGGGACACTGCAGGGACACCCTGGGGACACCCTGGGGACACCTCGGGGACACCCTGGGGGACACTGCAGGGACACCCTGGGGACACCCTGGGGACGCCCTGGGGACACCTCGGGGACACCCTAGGGAGACCCTGGGGGACACTGCAGGGACACCCTGGGGACACCCTGGGGACACCTCGGGGACACCCTGGGAACACTGCCAGCCCTCACTTCTTGGCGATGCTGAACACCTTGAGCTTCTTGCGGCTGCGCGGGCGGGAGGCGCTGGACACGCCGCTGTCCACCAGGGACGAGGTGGACTGGGACACCTGCGGGTGGGGACAATTGTCACCCAAGGGTGGCCCCAGGGCGCCGGCCCCGCTGCCACCCCGAGGGTCACCTTACGCATGATCTTGCGGCTGTAGAACAGAACCTTGTCCCGCTTGCGGAAGCGATACCTGGGGGGCTCCTGCGCGGGGACCTCTGGGGACACGGAGGGGACAGCGTGAGGGTGGCACTGTCACCTCTTGTCACCCGAGGCACCCGCGGCAGTGTCACTCACTCTTGTGGCGCAGCCACCAGCCCAGCGCGGYCACGGCCATGATGAGCACGGTGAGGCCCAGGAAGGCCACCACCACCTGTGGGG